AATTAGGTGTGTGCATATTTGTTGTGTACGCTAGAGCAGATCAGTCTACTGGATCTAGCTTCAGCTGGAGATATTTTTTGGTTTGAGATCAGCTTTGACCATGGCTGATAGATGAGGGACCAAAGCTGAGCCAGCCTTCAGCCAAAACGAAAAACGATATCTCGAGGACGGCGTAGTCAAATCAGGAGCATCATCGAGACCCAGTTGCCCATCTTCCGTTTAACTGTCTTTTTCCTTTTCGTGTCGTGTTGCATGAAGTGACAGTCTTTCGTGCTGCGATCACGAGAAGCCAACTCTTGCCTGTACCGACAAACGCTCTGTGCGGGATTTGGAGCTGGCAATAGACCTTCGCGTTAAGATTGGCCAAGTAGGAAGGGGAGAAGGGGAACTGGCGCTTTTTTCACTCCCAAACCAACAGGGAATCGGTCGACGGTCACCTCTCCACCCAATTTCTCACTCGAAGATGCAATAGACCAGGACGTCATTGATGATCTGAACTGGAATCTGGACAAGGCATGTCAAGCAAACCGTGAATCGAGGAGGGTCCAACTGCTGTCGACACGACCGAGCACCCGGTTGCAGTCTGGCTGCAACCGTCGCTAGGACGGTCGGGCTGGCGAGGCGCAATCTGTGAGGTTGAAGGGCGCCTCTCGAGGGACAAGGCAGCGGTGAGCAGGTGACATTCTGGGCTGAATGACCTCCAGACAAGCAGACGCGGCACGAACTGCAATAGTACACGTTGCAAATGACAGCTGGTGACAATGAGCACCTAACGCAAGTCAGTAAATCAATCGTTTATTCGGTACACCGGCCTGTTGGGCTGTAACTCACACAAACAAATGCTAGTCAACTGATCAATCGACGGGACAAGCAAACAGTCTGTCGGTCGACTGTCGCTCTAACCGAGCGATGGTGAAGTGATGCCATCGGACTTGCATGCAGGTGGGCCGTCAGAAAATCATCGGATTAACTGGTCGTCTAGGCTTCAACGACTGCTGGAAGGTAAACACAGAGGTACAGATAGATAAGGGGGGTTATATAGAATGCAGGGGTAGGTTCGAAAGCCATAAAAACAAACACCGACACGAATAAATAGTCATGAATCCACATGTATCCATAACAAAGCATTTGCTTAAGTGTGTGTGTGCCTGTGTGTGTGTGCCTGTGTGTGTGTGTGTGAGAGAGAGGGAGAGAAAGAGAAATATGAATGTGTGTGTACATGCAGGTGTGTCCATGTGAAAGCATGTGTGCGTGCAGGAATAGGATACAGGCACACTGCAGAACAGAGCTCCATGAGGTGGCAACCTAATGTGCCCAGCTGATTTGGAGAGAGAGCACTCGAAGTCGCCATGCGGACAAATAGGCTCGGGTGCTATGACGAATAAGGCTGGAATGGTCCGAACAGTTGGAATAACTCGGAATTACCCCAAACGAAAAATTTCACTACATGACACGAGACACTTGTATGGAGGACACAATCAATCGTCGGTCCCTCTTCAGCCGATCGTCGATCCCTCTTCAGCCGATTGTCGATCCAAGGAGGGGTCGTTCGGAGGTCATTATTTGAATCATTCGATCAGTTCTGAGGTCAAAGATCATAGGGTAAGAAAGAACTTGGAAGGGACAATCAGTAATATAGTGGGCAAAGAGGACCATTCGACTGTCGGTCAGTCTGTGAGACTGTTAATCTGTCATTTCTGATGTCAAATCGCCAGAAAGTTGGTCAGTCAGTCAGACATTCAGGTGGTTCGTCGGTCTGTCGGTCTGTCTATTGGTCTGATCATCTG